TTGGCCTTTGCATGGCCCAGCACTGTCTCCCCTTTGGCCTTTGCATGGCCCAGCACTGTCTCCCCTTTGGCCTTTGCATGGCCCAGCACTGTCTCCCCTTTGGCCTTTGCATGGCCCAGCACTGTCTCCCCTTTGGCCTTTGCATGGCCCAGCACTGTCTCCCCTTTGGCCTTTGCATGGCCCAGCACTGTCTCCCCTTTGGCCTTTGCATGGCCCAGCACTGTCTCCCCTTTGGCCTTTGCATGGCCCAGCACTGTCTCCCCTTTGGCCTTTGCATGGCCCAGCACTGTCTCCCCTTTGGCCTTTGCATGGCCCAGCACTGTCTCCCCTTTGGCCTTTGCATGGCCCAGCACTGTCTCCCCTTTGGCCTTTGCATGGCCCAGCACTGTCTCCCCTTTGGCCTTTGCATGGCCCAGCACTGTCTCCCCTTTGGCCTTTGCATGGCCCAGCACTGTCTCCCCTTTGGCCTTTGCATGGCCCAGCACTGTCTCCCCTTTGGCCTTTGCATGGCCCAGCACTGTCTCCCCTTTGGCCTTTGCATGGCCCAGCACTGTCTCCCCTTTGGCCTTTGCATGGCCCAGCACTGTCTCCCCTTTGGCCTTTGCATGGCCCAGCACTGTCTCCCCTTTGGCCTTTGCATGGCCCAGCACTGTCTCCCCTTTGGCCTTTGCATGGCCCAGCACTGTCTCCCCTTTGGCCTTTGCATGGCCCAGCACTGTCTCCCCTTTGGCCTTTGCATGGCCCAGCACTGTCTCCCCTTTGGCCTTTGCATGGCCCAGCACTGTCTCCCCTTTGGCCTTTGCATGGCCCAGCACTGTCTCCCCTTTGGCCTTTGCATGGCCCAGCACTGTCTCCCCTTTGGCCTTTGCATGGCCCAGCACTGTCTCCCCTTTGGCCTTTGCATGGCCCAGCACTGTCTCCCCTTTGGCCTTTGCATGGCCCAGCACTGTCTCCCCTTTGGCCTTTGCATGGCCCAGCACTGTCTCCCCTTTGGCCTTTGCATGGCCCAGCACTGTCTCCCCTTTGGCCTTTGCATGGCCCAGCACTGTCTCCCCTTTGGCCTTTGCATGGCCCAGCACTGTCTCCCCTTTGGCCTTTGCATGGCCCAGCACTGTCTCCCCTTTGGCCTTTGCATGGCCCAGCACTGTCTCCCCTTTGGCCTTTGCATGGCCCAGCACTGTCTCCCCTTTGGCCTTTGCATGGCCCAGCACTGTCTCCCCTTTGGCCTTTGCATGGCCCAGCACTGTCTCCCCTTTGGCCTTTGCATGGCCCAGCACTGTCTCCCCTTTGGCCTTTGCATGGCCCAGCACTGTCTCCCCTTTGGCCTTTGCATGGCCCAGCACTGTCTCCCCTTTGGCCTTTGCATGGCCCAGCACTGTCTCCCCTTTGGCCTTTGCATGGCCCAGCACTGTCTCCCCTTTGGCCTTTGCATGGCCCAGCACTGTCTCCCCTTTGGCCTTTGCATGGCCCAGCACTGTCTCCCCTTTGGCCTTTGCATGGCCCAGCACTGTCTCCCCTTTGGCCTTTGCATGGCCCAGCACTGTCTCCCCTTTGGCCTTTGCATGGCCCAGCACTGTCTCCCCTTTGGCCTTTGCATGGCCCAGCACTGTCTCCCCTTTGGCCTTTGCATGGCCCAGCACTGTCTCCCCTTTGGCCTTTGCATGGCCCAGCACTGTCTCCCCTTTGGCCTTTGCATGGCCCAGCACTGTCTCCCCTTTGGCCTTTGCATGGCCCAGCACTGTCTCCCCTTTGGCCTTTGCATGGCCCAGCACTGTCTCCCCTTTGGCCTTTGCATGGCCCAGCACTGTCTCCCCTTTGGCCTTTGCATGGCCCAGCACTGTCTCCCCTTTGGCCTTTGCATGGCCCAGCACTGTCTCCCCTTTGGCCTCCCCCGGGGCATCACACACGCAGTGACACTGACAGACACACACAGTAACACTGACACACATTGACACTGACAGATACACATACTGACAGACACATACAATAACTCTGACACACTGTCAGACACACTGACACACATTGACACTGACAGATACACATACTGACAGACACATACAATAACTCTGACACACTGTCAGACACACTGACACACATTGACACTGACAGATACACATACTGACAGACACATACAATAACTCTGACACACTGTCAGACACACTGACACACATTGACACTGACAGATACACATACTGACAGACACATACAATAACTCTGACACACTGTCAGACACACTGACACACATTGACACTGACAGATACACATACTGACAGACACATACAATAACTCTGACACACTGTCAGACACACTGACACACATTGACACTGACAGATACACATACTGACAGACACATACAATAACTCTGACACACTGTCAGACACACTGACACACATTGACACTGACAGATACACATACTGACAGACACATACAATAACTCTGACACACTGTCAGACACACTGACACACATTGACACTGACAGATACACATACTGACAGACACATACAATAACTCTGACACACTGTCAGACACACTGACACACATTGACACTGACAGATACACATACTGACAGACACATACAATAACTCTGACACACTGTCAGACACACTGACACACATTGACACTGACAGATACACATACTGACAGACACATACAATAACTCTGACACACTGTCAGACACACTGACACACATTGACACTGACAGATACACATACTGACAGACACATACAATAACTCTGACACACTGTCAGACACACTGACACACATTGACACTGACAGATACACATACTGACAGACACATACAATAACTCTGACACACTGTCAGACACACTGACACACATTGACACTGACAGATACACATACTGACAGACACATACAATAACTCTGACACACTGTCAGACACACTGACACACATTGACACTGACAGATACACATACTGACAGACACATACAATAACTCTGACACACTGTCAGACACACTGACACACATTGACACTGACAGATACACATACTGACAGACACATACAATAACTCTGACACACTGTCAGACACACTGACACACATTGACACTGACAGATACACATACTGACAGACACATACAATAACTCTGACACACTGTCAGACACACTGACACACATTGACACTGACAGATACACATACTGACAGACACATACAATAACTCTGACACACTGTCAGACACACTGACACACATTGACACTGACAGATACACATACTGACAGACACATACAATAACTCTGACACACTGTCAGACACACTGACACACATTGACACTGACAGATACACATACTGACAGACACATACAATAACTCTGACACACTGTCAGACACACTGACACACATTGACACTGACAGATACACATACTGACAGACACATACAATAACTCTGACACACTGTCAGACACACTGACACACATTGACACTGACAGATACACATACTGACAGACACATACAATAACTCTGACACACTGTCAGACACACTGACACACATTGACACTGACAGATACACATACTGACAGACACATACAATAACTCTGACACACTGTCAGACACACTGACACACATTGACACTGACAGATACACACTCTGACAGACACACAATAACACTGACACACTCTCTCACACACACACACTGACACTGACAGACACACACACACACACTGATCCCCACTGACACTGAAAGACACACTATGACACTGACAGTCACACACACAAACACACACACACACACACACACACTCTCTCTCCCTCTGAGGGAGTGTG